TAAGGAACTGGTTAACCATGTTATCGATATTGATGATAATTTAGTAAACCCTTTTAGAAAACAGTTACGCAAACGCCAACAGCAGACCACATTAGACAGATTTTTATTTTTAGAGAAAGCCAGCCAGGTCCTAGTGAAAAAAGGCAAAGGAGAAAAAAAACTCCTGAAAAGCAGCTACCAGTTGATTTTATGGAAGGCAGGGCTTTCTCCTCCTGTGAAGAGTCACGGTCTCAGAGCCCCCAGGGACCGTCCTCCCCGCCCTGTCGGGGTCACCGTGGATTGGAATGGACTCTGGAAATGCAGTTGTTTTTAAATTTTCACTTTCAGAAGACTTATTTTTAGAGCCTAGAAATACAAGTGATTTTTACGTATTGATCCTGTACCTTATAACCTTGCTGAACTTGTTTTTTTTAGGATTAGATATGTGCTCCTATCCTCTACAAACTATTACGTTTTTAAGGATTATTACATGGCTGTTTTATTTGGGGGGGGCTTCAAAACATTTTTGAAAAATTCCCTTATTCCATTTTTAAGCACCTTCTGATGTGTTCACCCACCATCTACCACTATGTGGTGGCTCTTGATTTGCTTTGCGAGGTTTAATGATAGTGGGCAGGTTTCTGCAGACTTCAAGATCAAGGAAGACTCGGAAGAAAGACTTGGTGATCTGTTTGTGAAAAGTAGTCAGTGAGCACCTTAGGACTCATAGCAAAGCATTGTCTGGCTTGCATGCTCTGGACAGGAGGGATCAGTTGGTGGAGGAGGGCATCATGTTTGCTGAAGTAGGGAGCCACCGGGCTGGGCGGGGGGTTCTTTTGGAAAGGTGGAGTGACCTAATATCTGTATGCGTGTGCTCAGTCCTGCCTTCCATCAAGAGGATAACGCGAGACCAGGCAGAGTCTCGTTCTGGTATAGATAAGCTCACCATGAGTTGGAAGTGTTGTAATGACATTTGTCTGTCCGTCTGCCCTTCGGTTCATCTTTATGTTTACCCAGGGTGATACATAGAAGCATCCTCTTCTACAAGCCAAATGGTACAAAATCTGTAGCTCCCGTGATTTGGTAGATGTGAAGCCATCCTCTGGCCCACTGAGTGGATGCCTCTGGCTTTATGTCTTCGTTCACTCTCCTGAAAGAGATTCCAGACAAAATCCACCTTGCTGCTCCTTCTCTTTTAGATGACTACTGCCTGTGGTCTTTGCTTGACTATCTCCTGTTACAATAACTTCTCTAAGTCTGATTCCGCATCCATTCTTTTCCTTCTTCTAGCTGCCTCCCAGACTCTTCAGCCTTTTCTTGGGATTGTTGCCCACCTTTTCTTTACTGAAATCCCATTCTGTATAACTTGGAAATAAGGAAAGGGTTGAGATAGAAATTCACTTTCTCCTACTAAACTTCCTATACACAATTGGCTTCTTTCTGCAGGACTCCTCCCTTCTTGTCACTTTGTAAGGCCAGTCTCTTCACCTGTACCTGAGCCCTATCCCTTTCACTCTCTCCCGTCTCTCTGTGACCGCTCTAGCGAGCACTGGAGGGAAAGCGCACTTCCCCATCAGGCATAGATGCACATGCATGTGTGGATGTACACAAAGTCTAACTTGAAAACATACCCAGAGTGGAACGTGGTGCTCTTGCTTCCAGGCATTTGTTTTCCGGCCTCAGAAACCTAAGTGTAATCTCCAACTTCCTGGAAGTTCTGCCATCAAGTCTTGGTAAAATCTATTTGTATCCCTCAAGTTCTCCATTACCACAGTCCCCTGGGGATTAGCCTCTCAAGCTGCCTCCCTGATTCTATTTCTCTTCCTTTCTAGTCCACGAGGCCCTTCTCCGTATCGTAACAGTCACTTTTGGTGGGGCTGTAGGGGTGGTGAGGGAATAGCAGTCTGATAATGGTCCTTCTTTGCTTAACATTTCTCACTGGCTTATCATTACTCATAAACGATAAGCGAAAATCCTTAACACGGGCTGTCAGGTCCTTTTCAGTTTCTCAGAACCCTCTCTCCCTGCTCTGTAGCAGCTGCACCTGTAGCCTGGCTTTCATCTGCCCTGGGACCTTTACACCCCGGGGGCTCCCTGCCTCACGGCCTTCCTCAACCCCATCCTGGCCTATACCCCACACCAGCTACACCCCACTTAGAGACAGGGCCGTCTGCTGTAGTTTCTCCATAAATACCTGCCATATAGGATTTCCTCTTACTGGCCTGCCCTTCCTTCTCAGCTATAATTTTTCACTCAGCAGTTTGTTTGCGTAAGGTCTGTTTACCCCACTCTCTGGACAGTCCACGCTTTCCCCCACTCTTGTAAGCATGGTGTCTAAATGTAGTAACAGATGCTTACACAAATACTTAGTTCACAAAGGAAAATGATCCAGAAATCTTTCTACACCACCACCCCCGACCCCCAAGTTCTTGCCTGTCTGCTGCCAGCATTATTCAGCTCTCAGTTCACCTAGTGTCCATAAATGCTTGTGGGCTTTGGCAGGGCCGAGCATAAAGCACAGTACCGCTGTGTCATAGGAGTGATGGACAGGTACGTGTGATATGTTGACCTCGGTGGGATATCTGTTTTTAGTGTGGCTACGCTGCCTTTTATTGGCATTCTATTTTTGGATCAGATTTAGTTTGGGTAAATTTTTATATTAAATTTTTCCCCCCAGTTAACATTGGGGAATCAAAAATTATAGTGGAAGATTGAGGCTGTCATCTAAATTAGGATTTCCAGTAAAGTCGGTTTTCCTGTTTGAGGGCAAAGCTGGAGAGAACATTTGAGTGAGACTAGTTCTTTCCTTTAAGGCTTTATGGGAACTTAGACTGGGCTCTGCATATATCTCTGGGCTCTTTGGGACTGTGCTGTGTCAAGAGGAGAATTTACCATTTTTGTTGTGAGAAACTGGTAGTGAAAAGGATGACGCATCTAAAGGAAGAATGGAATTCCCCTTACTCCTGAAACTTTCTTTCTGATGAAGTGGGGTCAGAAAAAAGCTGCGAAGGTGGAGACGTTAAAAAGTGCCCATGGTCGCTATGAGACCTTTGTGTGTTATGAAGTCATTAGACTTGACAGTGGAATAATCTGTATGACCTGATTCATTACTTTCTGTCAGTCAGCACCCTAAAATGCTACTTGAGTGACATTAGTGATCTTGGAACCAGGTCTTGTTTGTCTGTGGAATGATGTATGCATATCCAAAGATGCCACTCCCGTGCAGCATATGCTAAGGGTCACGTGCCTGTGTGAGGAATCGCAATGGAAGATGCACAGTTTACCCAGTGACCGTCAGTAGCAGGGCACGGTTGAACTTTGTCTCTTTAGCACTTAGCCCACGTGTTTGTCTCTGGTCAAAGCGTTATCGAAATGCTTTGAGGGACAAGGACATGTTATTTAGGGATCCTATGTATAGTTATGTAGTTGCATCTTGTGAGAACATGCACGTGCATTTTTATCATGAAAAAATGGAGTGGTACAGCTCTAGATGAAGTGTAAGTATTAAATCTGCAGTGTTGAGCAATATTCTTCAAAGACAATGGTGCATAACTCCATACTGGTATTCATGGACTGTCCTCCCACCCCACCCCCACCCCCCTTTTCCAAACCAAGATAAACCAAACTTAACTACCACTGAGTCAATGTCAACTCACAGCGACACCATAGAGCAGGGCACAGCTGCCCCTGTGAGTTTCTGAGAGTTAACTTTATGGGAGTAGACATCCCTGTCTTTCTCCCACTGCACAGCTGGTGGTTTTGAACTGTTGACCTTGTCCTCCTGCACCAGCCTCCCTTTAATTCAAGTTCTCCCTGCCCCTTTCTTTGTGCTGTTGTCTCTTTCCCTGGTCCTCCACAAGAGGGCAGTACAAGGAAGAGTCAGATTCTAGGTGAACCTCGTTTGTCCCGTGGAGTTAGAAACTAAAGTGGCTTTTTAGAAACAAGCAGTGGCTGCTCACAGTGCCCCACCTGCCTCTTCTGCGACTGAAACCAGTAAATATTTTAGAAGGTATTAAGCAGTAACAGCCTTTTAAAGTGATTTTTAAAGCATAGTTGGAGCCTTTAATTCTCTTGGTTGCTAATTGGCCTTTAATGAGAATCACTTGAATTTTTATGTGAATTTCCCATGCAGTAGTTTCAGGTAATGAATAGGATTTTTCTACTCCTGGGTGACTTTATTTAGCCAAGGACAATGCTTAGAAATGACAGGTCTGGAACTGCTCTCTGTCCCAAAACTGCTTTCTCGTTTCTTCAGAAACCTTAGCTTGGGTAGCAGTGTCACTGACTGACTCTTGTTCATAAATACCTACAAATTAAAAAAACAATCAATAACCCACTGCCATTGAGTCAATTCCAATTCATAGCAGCCCCACATAGGGTTTCCAGGGCCATCCATCTTCAGGACTCAGAAAGCCTCCTCTTCTCCTGGCGCAGACAGCAGGGCCGCGGCAGAGATCAGACTCTGTCTGAAGTGGGTTTGCTACAGAACACCTGACTGAACACCGGATCTGTTGCCTTTTAGTCAGTGAAGTTTTAAGCGTCCATAAAGTTTTATGTCACCAGATTATTTCTTGATTCCGGCAGTTTTCTTCTTTAGTCTGATGTATTCCGTGCTTGTTCTTTGTCGGTTTTCCCAGTGAGTGTATTTCTATGTGGGCAATGCCATTTCTGTGTGTGTAGACCCACGTTTCATATATGTGGTTTTTGCAGTTACAAGATATGGGAAGAAATGATGGGATACGTTTGTTTTTAAAATGTGTTCGGGGTTTTGTTCTGGGTCCTTGCAGCAGAAACTCCAGTTAGACTCAGACTCTTCTCTCACATTCTGGGAACATTCTTTTTTCCAGCACTTAATGCCTTTTATTCCATCTGCTTCATGCATGAATTATGGAGCATATGTGAAGAGGCACTTAAACTGTTTCCGTTGCACTCTTTGTGGAGGGCCCTTGTTATATTTAGGATATCCTTATACTGCAGACAAAGTAAGAATGCCATCGTTGTTGGCCTTGACACCCGCTCACTGGGCAGACATTATATAGCTATGTTTGAATCCTCGCAGAACGTGATGTTAAAGCCGACCGAGTCCTGGCGGGAGACCCTTCTGGACAGCCGAGTGATGGAGCTTTTCTTCACAGTAAGTCTCGTCGCCTGCCCCTGTGGTTGGAAGAGACCCTGCGAAGAATAGACACCGATGAGTGTGGCTCACGGGAAACAGGCAGCCAACTGCCCAGAAACCTCCTCAGCTAATCACTGTAGCTGCTGGATTTGTAGTTCTATAGAGACGGTCTTGCTAATGTATAAAAAGTTTAAGTAACCAGGAGGAGTTAAATAGCTTGGGACAGAAGCATGCAAACGCTTAGCCTACGGACCCCTGTGCACTCTAGCAGTTTGGAGGATCCAACGAGCTCTGGTTAATGTGGGGTGTAGCTGGTGGCATTGACCGTATGGAAACTGCGAGCTTAAAAACACTGGTTACAAAGTCACTGAAAAGGCTACTAGTGCATGTGAATTTAATTCACATTTTAATGAACAGATTAGTGGAGGAGGGGCTTTCGGGATTTTGTGGGGATATTCCCTTATTAAATCCATTTTTCCACAAATGTTTTGAAGCCTCTTTGTGGTTTTGGAGAAGAAGAAATGGTGGTAAGTATGGAGCTGGGTTGCGGTACGCTCGAATCTTTTTAACGTTGGGCTTTCCTAGGAGACAGGCGGATTCTCATGTTTGCGTCTGCATTCAGTCTGTCGCAGTGTCACTCCTCGCGTAGCTTCTGGAAACGCCATGTGTGTGACAACGAAACCAGAAAGGCTCCCACAGTAACATTATAGAACTCATTTTGACCACCTGGGTCACTCTGGAAGGTCTTGGGCCCCTCCAGGGATTCCTGGATCACACTTTGAATTCTCCTGTTTAGAGGATCACACTTCCTAAATGCTGCTGCTGTTTATGGGTCGTAGGTCGTGGTGGTATTTATGAATAGTAAGCCCTTTCTGCCTTCACTCTAAATAGTCTGCTTATTAATTGGCATATCTGGAGAAGTGAGCAGTATGCCCCACATCTGCCCTGAGTTTCCCCAGCACAACCCTTCAAGGTTGGAGCGTGTGTATGGTGTGTGCTGTGTGTGTGTGTGCCCGTGTCACATTCAGTTATAGGATGAATGTGTGCATCAGCTGATGTGACTGGGATGAAAATTCAAACAGATCAGTTCAAAAAAGAAACCGCGGTTTTACTCCATGCACGTGGTTCCGTTGTCGTCCCTTCCTGTTTGATTCTGAAATCTCGTTCACTAGGCTTATACAGCTGCCTGCCTTTTTTGATTGAGCCGTTTGAAATATTTTCATGAGATGGTATGTCTTTACAAACGTCTCCAACAGGGCCATGCATCCATAAAAGAGGTTTTCCACAGACGTATTCAGGCAGAATAATTAATTACCTCGCATTTTCTTTTTGAATTCAGAGGACTGGTGAGACTAAAACACTGTCACGTCTGAGGAGTTATTGTGACTAAAACGTGAGATTTTCTTGCCTGCCTCATCTGAGAGGGTTGTTTAGATAGCTGTCCAAGTTCAGTTCTTTGTGTGACTCCTTTGAGGGAAAGTCCATCTTGCTCCAGCAGTTTGGGACAAGGTGGAAACCTTGCTAGCAGCCCTGGAAACCACGGCCCCAAAGCCGAATGAACAGCTGTCCAGACGAGGCAGGCAGCTGCCCCGTCAGCTGTGAACCACCACAGGCCGCTAGCTTTGAATTGAAAAGTTAACCCCTTTCTTACGTTGTTATTTTTACAGCTACATAACGTCTACATCTGATTACCTTTATTTAAACTGCTTGTAAACAATTTAAATTTGCTATTCTTGGCACCAAAATGGCAGTGGCCTTTTAGTTTCACCTGTGTGAGGTCATCACCCACTTCAGAGCATTTTCCATCGGGGCCTGGCTCCTTGGCGTAAGGACACGTTCGGGGTGTGTGTGGGGGTTGTGGTCGATCCGGATGCTGAGTGGCCCCAGAGGACAAAGTAGACCACCCCACGGCTTTCCCGGGGCACATCTCCTGTTTATTCCTCTCGAGTGCACCGGAAGATTCCAACTGCAATTGTTTCGGTTTTCAGCTGAGCATGAAATCATTGTGTCACCAGAACGCCTTTGCCTGCGACGATGGCTTGAAATCCGTTGATCTAGTCTGAATACAGTGAGCGCCCTGGTGGCCTAGTGGTTGTACCTTGAGCTGCTAACCACAGTTTGAAACCACCAGCCGCTCTGTGGGAGAAAGACAAGGCGTTCTACTCCTGTAAAGGGCTACTGTCTCGGAAATTCGATGGCAGTGAGTTTTTATCTGAATGTAAGAATGCTTTGTGTTGTATTCTGCACTTCAGAAGCTTGCTAACTTCTTGAGTTTTCGTTCCTTCGTGAGCTCTGGAAGACACTCATAATAGGTTTACCTTGCATCTTTGGGCAGACTCTTCTGATGTGGTGTATGGTCTTTCTTTCCCTCTGCGCATCAATGTTGCTGTTCCTGTCGTGGTTTCCTGTCTGCATTCTGCTTGGGTTCTCGCCCAGTCACTCCCAGATCTATAATATCCTTTGGGGACCGCTTTGGACTCCCAGAGGCATCTCAGCCAAGTGCTTCCCAGCTGCTTTCAGTTGGAGGGCCCCAGACACCTCAGACTTCACATGTCCCAGCAGCCTGCTTTGTGGTACTAGTTGACCTCTTCTGTACTCCCCAGTTTGACAGAGAGCCTCGTCTTCACCTTGCTAATTTAATCCTGTCTCCTTCCTATAGTCAGGTGTGAATGCAGTTTTACTTTGTATGACACAAGTTGCATCGGCTTGAGAGAGTAACACTCCATTGTGGTGAATGCCTACACTGGGAGCAGGGCGAAAATCCGCTGTTAGTCAAGTACAACCAATTACCCTGCGTTTCACATAGCTCATATTTCCAGGAGCACTAAGCCTGGAAACCCAGGCAGACTTGGAGGACAGCCTTCGACTTTTGTTTTTTATATGGCGGACTTAGAGCTTTCACCGGGGTGTGTTTCTGGTAATTCTTCTTTTCTGACTTCTAGGCTAGTAACAAGCAGCACTTGGGCCGTATAGGCAGAGAAGACTGTGATGGGATTCTGCTGTTGCCCATGTGGACAGATTTCAGCGAAGCTTCCGCACTTGGATAGGCACAGGAAGACCACATAGCAAATGGGTTTCTATTCCACATCAGTATGCTTTGTGCCATTGACTGCAACCCCCGCACTGAAACCACGGTCTTCTTCATTGCTCCTATGCTTCCTGTCAACACTTGCTGCCTTTCCTGCTTTCTGATCCCTCTCCCTGAGCAAGTGCAGTCCTTTTGATCTCATGTGGTTGGATGTATGTTGTACCTCAAATTTATAAAAATTTAAATATGTTAAACATATTCTCTCCAAGTGAAAAACCTTTGTATTGCTCTAGACCATTGGTTCTCAACCTTCCTAGTACCGCGGCGCTTTAACACAGTTCCTCATGTTGTGGTGACGCCCCCCAACCATAAAATTATTTTCGTTGCTACGTCGTAACTGTAATTTTTCTACTGTTATGAATCAGGCGACCCCTGTGAAAGGGTCTTTAGATCCCCCAAAGGGGTCACAACCCACAGGTTGGGAACCACTGCTCTAGATTCAGGGCTGGCACCTTTTTTCTCTGAAGGAATGTAGGCTTTGCAAGTCCTTTCGTCTCGAACTGCAAGGATAAGTCAGCAAGCATCACTAGAATGTAGTAGAAATGTTTATTGAACTCCAGAGGTGAGGCTGTTGTTTGAAATATTCTCTGTCTAAGGCTATATATTTTTGAAGGCAGCGTTTTCATCTCTCTTGTTCTTTTATTTACACCACATCAAAATGGCAGCGTTGGCATCCTCGAAAGACTCAAGTTGTGCTCCTTTGAAATAGTCTGAGTTTGGGGAACACAAAGCAGCCTGAAGGGGCAAGATCAGGCTGTAGAGAGGATGAGGTCAGGCTTCCTGATGAAATTCAGGACAGCTCTTGCTAGAACGAACAGGTTCACTGTTGTGACGGGAAAATTCTTCAGTGCAATTTCTCTGGCCATTTTCTCACCAGTGTAGTATTCCATTCAACAACTACTTCATAATGAGCTTCCCATGATTTTCCTATGCTCTTCTAGAAAAATATATCAGGGTGATGCCTTTGGGATTCCCCCCATCACTGTAACCTGCTGATCTGACCTCTCTGCCTAGAATTTAACTGGCCTGCAGATCCCCTTGGAAGCTACTGTTTTGATTGGACTTTTTTTTTTGTTTTCCCTTGGCGAGGCACCCTAATGAGACAAGACAAGTGTGTTTGCGGCCATCCACTGATGGCTGACACATTTGAACATGTCTTGCTGGGAATAAACCTGTGGGTGTGTGGATGGGGACCCTAGGAACAGCACATTTTGACCGGCTCTTGAACATCTGGACATCTCTGCCATTGTAGCATTTAAAGGAGCCATGTGAGTGAATAAGAGAATACACATGACTGTGTCCCAATGAAATTGTATTGATGGGTGTTAAGATTTGAATTTTGTGTAATTTCCAGGTGTCACGAAATAGTATTCTCGCCCCTTTCCCCTTCTTGTCAAATTTAAAAATATATAAGCAGCAGACCAGGCCATGCGAAATAAGGTTTGCAGCCTGTTCCTTACAGAGAGGCGAGTGAGTTGTCATAATTTCTGTTCTCAATTTTACTTCACTTGGTTGTGATATCCAAGGCATGGCACAGAACTCACAGACAATATTCATGATGAAAAGGTTTATTGAGGAAGCTCACAATTCGTAATGCCAGTGAGAAATGCTGAGGGTTCAGTTTGTTTATCAGGACACGTTGCAAAGTTCTTTCGGGATGCTAATAAATGCGCAAAGGGGCATACCACCCCACTGTAAGTCTTAATCCAAAGCCATTTGGCTCAATATCCATGGGTTAGCAATCTCAATTTCTCCAATTAAATGCTCAGAGGCATCCCACTCCATAAGCTATCCATCTGCACAAAAGCACTCAGCTTTACTTCCTCTGGGCATCGTCACTCAGTTCTACTCGCTGGCTCCTGGTTCTGCTGCTGCTCCTCATCTGGGTCCAGGAGGGTCCCTGCTCAGAGGTCTTCAGTGGCGAGGGTGCATTCCGCTCCTGGCTCTTGATGATAATGAGTCCATCCTCCTGCTTCTTTGAGGGCTCATTTTATACACCGCAGGGTGGCATGGCATGGAATCCTCTCAGGAGCTTTCCCCACATTTTTACCAGACTCATGCAGGTCCTTTGGTGGGAGGGAGTTAAGAGACTTGGGCTTGAAGGACCACATTAAATAATTCACTGCCCCTGCAGGTAGCATATTTAGCATGTCAGTAGGTCAGTTAACTCTGACACTTTTAAAGACTCTTTAGCACATAAACATTTTTTTAAACTACAGTTATAAGGAGTCCGGGATGAACAGTTAATGCATTGAGACCGTCAGGAGCCTCGATGGCACTGAACTGCTAACCACAAGTTGGAAGATGAGGCTGTCTCTTCCTGTGAGGAGTTACAGTTCTGCCCTGCCCTGTAGGGTCAGAACCGACTCCGTGGTAGTTTGTTTGACCAGTGAACCAGGATCCCTGCGGTGCCTGTTCACAGCGTCCCCAGCACTGTGGCCAAACATTACTTAGGGACAGTGTTCTAAACTTAAGCAATTAGTAAATGATCTGCAGAGGCCAACTGAACATACCCTGAAACAAATCGAGAATAAAAGTCCAAAATGATGTGGCATTCATAAAGCTGGGAGGGTCGTGCAGGGAGGAATGAGAAAGAAGGTAGGGGCCAGGTAGGAAGTAGCTGAGAGAAACGATTAGCATGCAATTTCCCCCACTAAGTATCTTAGTCATTTTAGTTACAGCAGATTTCCGAAATTACACTTTTTAAAGATCCGAGACTACCAGTAATGTAAAATTAGCCATCTTTGGTGGGGATGTCCTTGATACAGCACGTTCTGTGCCAGTGATTTATGTCATTTGCTGCCTCAGTGAACTAAAATCCAGATCTGCTTTAAAAGCCGTTTTCATTGAACTTCAAGCTTTAATTAAAATACGTATACTTAGCATTTATTAAGAAGGTCATAATCATGCAGGATAAAATGAGATGCCAACAAGGAAATCGTGGGCAACTTGAGGCTGGATGGAATCATTTACTTCGGTATGGGCCCAATGAGTGAATGTCTAGGGATTTAGCTGTATATGACTTTTCTAAATCTGCCACTGTTTACTTCCCCTGAGGCAGCATCTATACGCTCTCGATTGAACTTGTTTGCTAATTTTAGCCAGAAGCGGCCAGGAGGCATAGTTAGCATAATACAGATGACTGTTGTCGGTGCTGTTTTTAGCTGTAGCAGTATGTCTGACTGGCTGGCATCTGTTTCTCTCTTTGTCACAACACGCTGGAGACAGTTCAATCTGCAAAATGTAGGTAGCCCTTAGTCAAAAACCGCCTGAGCCATTTAAAACCATGGCCTGTGATGTAAAGTGGATTGCGGGCCGGTCCTCACCTCAAACGTAGCTTAGTTCAGGAATCCTGTCGGGTTTCTAGAGATAAACAGCCACCGTAAGTTTTTCTCTGACCTCATTACGGACACATGACTTGCAGTGAGGAAGAATTTATCTTTATGGATAAGCAATTCTGTGTTAACAGGTACATCGAAAAATCCGAGAAGACTCAGACATGGCCCAGGATTCTCTGCAGTGCCTCGCCCAGTTAGCGTCCCTCCATGGACCCATCTTCCCGGACGAAGGCTCACAAGTTGACTACCTAGCTCACTTCATTGAGGGATTGCTGAACACCATCAATGGGTATGTATCTGTGCCCTTTGTAAAGGAAAAAGGGACTTTATTGGATTTTTTTCCCCCCTTGGTGGTTAGCAGTGGAGGGGGAGGGGGGAGCAGATAGTGATTCTTTCTCCTTTTTTATATTCTGAAACTTATATTTATCTGTGTCAGTAAATGGAAGTTAGTACACAGAAGGCATACATCTGAAAATGAATAGGTGCTAATATTTACATGTTTAGAAACGAGCTAGAAGAACAGCTCATCTCCTGTTGTTTGATAATCGCTTGCTTGTGTACTTGACTTGTAGAATTGAAATAGAAGATTCTGAAGCCGTTGGAATTTCCAGCATTATCAGCAACCTGATAACTGTGTTCCCACGAAATGCTTTAACTGCCATTCCAAATGAACTGTTCTCCTCCTTCGTTAACTGCCTCACACACCTCACTTGCTCTTTCGGGCGAAGTGCTGCATTGGAAGAAGTGGTGAGTGGCCCCCACTAGAAGCTGGTGTGTTTTCTCGCTGCACGACCACTCTCCCGACCAGTGCCTTTTCGGGGTGGGCTCGTCGTCAACATTTGCATTTTTGTGCAGGTGCTGAAATTATTTGCAACCTGTGTGTGGAACAATGATCTTACAACTTCCGAGGATTTAAGCCCCTTTAAAAATGTGTGAATTGTCTCGGGTCATATGTTTTCAATTTTGAGATTAGTTAGTATCTCAGTGTAGGAAGTGGCTTGGAATATTTATTTTAAATGATATTGAAAACCAACTTTAATGCTGAGCATAAATACTAAGTGACTCTGAAAGTTTGATGCAGGTGCTGCAGTGGTTGTGATGCTGTCTGACTGTATAGAACTAGTATCCGAGAGCTTTTTTAGTTTGGGTACTTAACCTGGAAATTATGTGACTATAATTTGGCTCAAATCCTTATAGCCTAGCCTGGCTCATGTTGGTTAGACTGTGCACTTTTGTTTCTTGGTGGGGTATGGTTTCATAGTATATCACTGTAGCGTTTAATTTACATTATGCATTGAGACAAGGAATATTAAAGTTTGTTCTTTGGGACAAATTTTCCAAGTGCATGTTTTCCAATTGCCTAATCTTAGTGTAAGGAACATACGAGAACCCATGACAGTAGTTGTGAATTAACTATTTCGTTATAGGCAGGCAATCATTGAGGGGACCCCACACACACACACAGAATTGCTTAGTTTAGGCGTTCTGAAAATCAAAATGTGGATCTTTCTCCAAAACTGTGAAACTAAACATATTTATAGTTCTCTGTTGGAATGTTCTAAGTTGTTTTGGTGAAGGGCTGGCGAAGTGTAGGTGACTTTACCATTTTTCTTCAGGGATTTTCAGGAAGTAAAGAACTCGGGAACTTTAGTGCGTGTGTAGCCAGACACTTCAAGCCATGGTAGAGACAAGAAGCTAGAACTAAGTCAGGTAGATAAGTATTTATGTGATGGACAGTGTAGATGTTGGGGAGGGGGTGCTGCATAGCTGTTTAAGAGGCTTCGATTTCCTAAGGGGGGAAGATTTATTTTCTAAAGCTGGAAAAAAGATCTCATTTCTAAAGCAACATATTTATGTATTCAAGCTGTGCACTCCAGCACTTCTCAATGATCACAGACCCTGCATGGTTCACATTTCAAGAGCTGTGGTTTCAGCGACAGGGCTACTTGTTTTTCTCTTCTATCCAGGCTTATTGAACAACCTATTTAGTGGAAACCTTTCCGTTTCTGTTTGTGGGCTAAGGAACAGTTTAAAGAAGAATTGCTGGAAGATATTGACCCTATTGCTTGCGATTTTAAGTGAAGAGTTGATTTCTTTTGATAAAAAAGACTGACAGACTTGGCACACTGACCCTTTTTTCTGGAAGGTTTGGCATGGAAGTGTTAGAAGAAAACTCAAGACCTTTTTAAAGAGCCCTGGCTAGAAATTGATTGGACTGTGCTGTCCTTGATCGGTTTCCTGTGAGAGAGGTGTTACCTCTTTTAGCGTCTTAATCTGTTGATGATGCTGACTTTAAAAGTGTTGTTAAAAATACCTGGTGACCTATTGGAAAGGACAGAGGAAAAGATTGGTCATTTGCATTAATCGCCAGATTGCCCAAGGACTAAATGAAGACTCAAATACCATCCCAACCACGCTGGTGGGCAACGTGTGCGAATACCTATGTGCGGGAACAAAGCGAGCCAGATTCAGTTGGAAGCCCTGCCGTCTTTTGTTTCCTGGGACTCTGGGCCATCGCAGTGATAGTGTATGATACATAGTCATTAGCCTGGGACGGGAAAATACTTAATACTCTTGTAAGTGAAAACGGAAAAGTTGAAGCATTATAAAAAGACTGCTTTGGGAGGTCAAGTGGTGTAGGAAAATCGGAAAGTGAGACAATGCAGTCATGAGTTTAAATACAAGCCCTGCTCAGACGAAGGGAGGGCACCTCTGGCAAGGAGGTTTACCTTGTTTGGAGCAATTTTCTTCGTGGAAAAGCCAGGCCCCTCGTTCCTTCTGGAGTCAGAAGTAGTAGGAAAACTATCAGAAAGTGGCAGAATGTCATAAAATTAGCCACTTTGGGGAAACCCTATATTCAACAGAATGACGACAACATAAGAGCCTTTGTTTTGTTTTATTTGATGACGATGATTATATGACTGAAAAGCTCCCAGTTGATTCTTGTCGACTTCCAAGTTCACTGTGGGCATTTATACGTAAGTACTGACTTTGGTCATCTTCTCCCACCCAAGTGAAGCAAGTAGGGTCAAGTAGTCAAATCAGCTCTAAGCCCCTCTCAAAGCCTTCCTGGCAGCGGGCCTGACACTGCCCCGGGCATGAGCACATTGCCTGCTTGGGCTCCTTAGTCATCACTGGGCACGGACTTGCTGCTGGGTCGGGGCCAGAGAGGATGGAGCAGGGCCAAGGCAAGGTTTCAGCTCCCAGTGATTAGCCTCGACGCTTCAGTTGCCAATTGTCATCAACGAAATTTCTCACACTTGGCCTGGTGCATTCCCCTTTAGAAGCCCACACAACGTCCCTTACTTGAAATATCCAGCTAAGCAAAGCGCTAGGCTAGTCTCTCTGAGACCTTTGGTAGCAGGAGTTTATAGGCAGGGCCGTGGAAAGTTCATTATATATACTTAACTTCTGCTTTCCTGTATCTGAACAAAGGCTCTGTGTCCAAGGCATGTCGTAAGAACCAGCAAGGGACAGTGCTTAGAGAATGCCCTCCTCCTGCTGCCTCTTCGAGGCTGCATGGGAAGGCTCGCTTCTGCCGAGCTGAGTTCCTCTTCAATCACTTGCCTCTCTGTTTACTTTGACAAGATAAACTGTTCACACTTCACAAATGCTACTTGCAGAGCACGTGCCGGGCTCAGTCTGTGAGAAGCCGACCTTGCACCAGTCCCGCCTGCCGTGCTGCTCCCAGGCATTCAGTACGCCTTTGTGCCATGAATAAAACCACTGTGTCCCACTGGAAGCAACAGACTTGGCTTGGTGTTCCATCATTTTATACATCCTGCCCGGAGTCCTCATGGCACCTGTGATGATTTTATTGTGCTCTAGTTGATAGGAGACCCAAAATATAACATGGAGCTCTAAACATTGTCATAGAGTGGCCATTCATAAACCCTTGGCCCAGCTCAAGAACAAGTGCCAGCCCCACACACACCCTCACTTGGTCTCCATGCCCACGTCTCTCCTCAGCACCCCAGAAACTGCCTCTCTGAACTGGGTTTACCACACTCTCCCAAATGAACTTTGGAGTGCCCCCTTTACTCAGACAGTGTTGCAGTGAGCGATTTTTAACGGGTTTTTCAGTATTCACGTGTGAGCACTTCCTTAAGGCACAACGAGACTGTCCGCTCATAGGACATAGGAGCATTCAGTCTTACAGAGTCGTTCCAAAGTGCTTGCGAACTCTAGCGGACTTACTTTCATTTCACCAGCGGGTTGACACCTCCTCATATTAATCCATGTCCTCACCAGCACCTGCTGATTGTCACTTTGCGGGGGGTGGGGGGGTGGGAAACGGGGTGCAAAACGAGCAAGTATAAGATGTGGTCTTACTCATCAGATGTATGTGTATTTGCATCAAGTACCAGCATGTTTCAAGGGGTGTTCTTAGTAATTCTTTAACATTATGTGTGGTGGCTATTAAATTTACTGAAGACACATTATATTTCTACTGGGTGGAATTTGCTTTTTAAAAATTACTTTAAGAAATCAGTTGTCTGTTCTTAGTAGCAACTATTCCATTCGCCCCACATAGCCTCCCTTGTTCTGGCCTCATCCTTGTCCGGTTCTCGGAGTCATTGTACACTATGTAGGAAGTAGATATTTTATATTTTAGCTGATTACAAGGAAATGTTATACTATTATTTACAAAACCATTTCCTCAAAGCACACTGAACACCTGATCTTCCAAAACAGAACCAGTTATTACTGGCTGCTTATAAGAACCTTTAAAAAAAAAAAACTTTTACCCCAGTATGTGAATTGATTCGTTATATTTTAAAAAACAAACCCATTTGGCACAATTGAATAATAGCATAATTTGGAACTTCTGCTGTTAAAGGTGCCCGTTATAAAGCGATGTGCCTCATCCTGTGCCTGGTGTTAATGTCCATTTTCTGTGTCTGGCTGGCTGCTTGGTGACTGCCCTTCTCTCACAGCTCGACAAAGACGACATGGTGTACATGGAAGCGTATGACAAACTGCTGGAGTCTTGGCTGACCTTGGTCCAAGATGACAAGCACTTCCACAAAGGCTTCTTTACCCAGCATGCAGTACAGGTCTTTAATTCCTATATCCAGTGCCACCTTGCTGCTCCAGATGGCACAAGGAATTTGGTAAGTTTGAAGTCATGTGGGAAATACAAATCAATTTCATCACAGACTGTTTGTTTACACAATGTATAATACTACCAATTGAGGTTAAACCCCCTTCAGACAATGTGTGGGAATCTGAATGAGCTCTTCCACTGTGGGATTTGACTTGCAGTTACCTTCTTTCTTCTGGTAGTTAGAGAACCACAGTTCTTAAGGAGGAGACGGAATTCCCTGGTGGGGTGGCAGGCCATGGGTATACATGGTGACATCAATGCCTTCTACTTCCTTCCCAGCTGTGCTCGCTCGCCTTTCTTCCTGCACCTCATACGGCTCAGGCCATTGACAGCCACCCCAGAAGATTGACTCTGTCTGGCTCTGCTTTTTGGTTCAGTGCTGGGGAGTGCCGTGCAGTGCCAAAGGGTCCCATTTCGTTGAGCAAAGCAAACAGTGCAGGCCCTAATTCTTGATTCCTGTCACCTCAACAGACTGCCAACGGTGTGGCCTCTCGTGAGGAAGAAGAAATAAGTGAACTTCAAGAAGATGATCGCGACCAGTTTTCTGACCAACTAGCCAGTGTGGGAATGCT